TATTTTTATTTATTTTTATTTATTTTTATTTATTTTTATTTATTTTTATTTATTTTTATTTATTTTTATTTATTTTTATTTATTTTTATTTATTTTTATTTATTTTTATTTATTTTTATTTATTTTTATTTATTTTATTTATTTTTTATTTATTTTTATTTATTTTTTATTTATTTTTATTTATTTTTATTTATTTTTATTTATTTTTATTTATTTTTATTTATTTTTTATTTATTTTTTATTTATTTTTATTTATTTATTTTTATATATTTTTTATATTTGTTTTTATTTATTTTTATTAATTTTTATATATTTTTATTTGTTTTTATTTGTTTTTATTTATTTTTATTTATTTTTATATATTTTTATTTATTTTATTTATTTTTATTTATTTTTACTTATTTTTATTTATTTTTATTTATTTTTATTTATTTTTATTTATTTTTATTTATTTTTATTTATTTTTATTTATTTTTATTTATTTTTATTTATTTTTATTTATTTTTATTTATTTTTATTTATTTTTATTTATTTTTTATTTATTTTTATTTATTTTTATTTATTTTTATTTATTTTTATTTATTTTTATTTATTTTTATTTATTTTTATTTATTTTTATTTATTTTTATTTATTTTTATTCATTTTTATTTATTTTTATTTATTTTTATTTATTTTTATTTATTTTTATTTATTTTTATTTATTTTTATTTATTTTTATTTATTTTTATTTATTTTTATTTATTTTTATTTATTTTTATTTATTTTTATTTATTTTTATTTAGTTTTATTTATTTTTATTTATTTTTATTATTTTTATTTATTTTTATTTATTTTTATTTATTTTTATTTATTTTTATTTATTTTTATTTATTTTTATTTATTTTTATTTATTTTTATTTATTTTTATTTATTTTTATTTATTTTTATTTATTTTTATTTATTTTTATTTATTTTTATTTATTTTTATTTATTTTTATTTATTTTTATTTATTTTTATTTATTTTTATTTATTTTTATTTATTTATTTTTATATATTTTTTATTTGTTTTTATTTATTTTTATTAATTTTTATATATTTTTATTTGTTTTTATTTGTTTTTATTTATTTTTATTTATTTTTATATATTTTTATTTATTTTTATTTATTTTTATTTATTTTTACTTATTTTTATTTATTTTTATTTATTTTTATTTATTTTTATTTATTTTTATTTATTTTTATTTATTTTTATTTATTTTTATTTATTTTTATTTATTTTTATTTATTTTTATTTATTTTTATTTATTTTTATTTATTTTTATTTATTTTTATTTATTTTTATTTATTTTTATTTATTTTTATTTATTTTTATTTATTTTTATTTATTTTTTATTTATTTTTAATTTATTTTTATTTATTTTTATTTATTTTTATTTATTTTTATTTATTTTTATTTATTTTTATTTATTTTTATTTATTTTTATTTATTTTTATTTATTTTTTATTTATTTTTATTTATTTTTATTTATTTTATTTATTTTTATTTATTTTTATTTATTTTTATTTATTTTTATTTATTTTTATTTATTTTTATTTATTTTTATTTATTTTTATTTATTTATTTTTATATATTTTTATTTGTTTTTATTTATTTTTATTTATTTTTATATATTTTTATTTGTTTTTATTTGTTTTTATTTATTTTTATTTATTTTTATATATTTTTATTTATTTTTATTTATTTTTATTTATTTTTATTTATTTTTATTTATTTTTACTTATTTTTATTTATTTTTATTTATTTTTTATTTATTTTTATTTATTTTTATTTATTTTTTATTTATTTTTATTTATTTTTATTTATTTTTATTTATTTTTATTTATTTTTATTTATTTTTATTTATTTTAGTTCCAAAATTGTTGAACATCGTCATTATTTATTTATGATGAGTAGCTACAATTCCAATTTTGTAACCGATATTCCAATACAAGTTATTTTCCATTCTAAATCAGCACAAAATATTTAAAACACTTCTTGAAATCGAAATAACTAACTAATATAAACACATTACAAGTCGTCCCAGAAATTAATAATCCGTTATTAAGAGAATGAAGTTAATCATATGCAACTAATAATACAAGAATGGAGTAATATTGGTTGCCTACATGTCAGTTTTACCAAAACACAATTTTATAAATAATTAGTCAAAATTAAAAAAAATATTGTATTTAAGTTACAAAATGCCTTATTTTATGTAAAGAGTGAATATTTTCGGGACGAGCAGAGCGATGTTCCGCAACTGGTTTCATAAATAGCTATTAAGGATTATGAAATTTACAAAATGAATATTAACAATAATATCACCACCAAACTAATTACCTAGGTAGTTGATCGATTAATTGAGCTTACCAATTTTATTTCCCATTTCACTCAAGACGTTCTTTAATTTATTTTCAGAACGCCCTGATACGCCCCATGTCAAGTTCCTTCCTTTTTCCTTTGCAAGTTGATGTAGGTAAGGAACGCAATATTTGCCTGTAAAACCTGTTGCTCCCAGTAATACTATATCTAGCCGTTCTGAATCCGCAACCATTATTTAACACAGTTATTCCTCAAAACTAAAAAATATAAAGATGACAGACACTGACTTACCACTCAATTATAGGTAATGTATCGTTTAGTCTTGACATACAAACACGAATACCTTCTTTGAATAAATAAAAACCAGTTGTATTTTTACTGTCTAGTAGCAGAAACCTTGATTCGATGAAATATTAATTGATTAATTATTATAATGACGTAAACACAAACGTTTACAAAATATATTATATATTATGTTGCGCTAAAAACTATTAGAAGATTTTTTTAATTTAGAAAACATTCATCGGACATTGACCTTTTTTTATCTAATTTTTTTATAAGGAACATAACTTATCTTTGTAACTGGCACGTTGTGCAGTGTATACAGGGTAGCTAGATGAAAACATACCAGGGCCATTATCTGGAGATGAGTCAACATTTTAGAAAAACGTCAGTTTTTAAATATTTATATCATAAACTTTTATCAACGGCGCACCCAGGTATTTTATTTGGGGGGTCTTAGGATTTTTAGTATGAAAGAACCCCACACTTTTTACATTGGTTTTGGGTACTGACAGAATTTGTTCAAATTTTAGTATGTCATTAACGGCATCTTTCTTATGGACCTCAAGTTTGCAGCTCTACAAGGTGTGAGCTGTTAGATGGAGTCAAAAGTATGAAATGCTGAATTAATATTTTCATATACAGGGTGATTCACATAAGAACCGACATAGAGCAGGGGGCATATAGGGGGGTCCCAAAATATGGCAATTTAACGCAACTTACCTCTAAACCAAGTTTCTTCCCTAAGGAGTTATAGGCTTTGAAAGTGAAGTTATAAATTTTGAAAAAAAAAACAATATCGCCGTTATTCTTGAACTTAAAGCAACCAAATTTGGTACACTTTGTGGATGTATTTAGGGCGTTACTTGACAGTAACTAGAGTTTAATTGAAATTTGTAAAGGGGGTATACTGGGTGGCGCACCATTAATATTCAACAGAATTTTGTTAACCCTTGATGGATTTTAAAAATCTTTGCTTTGTTTTGTGGGCAATTCAATTCTTAAACTTTTCTTACTCTAGTAATTTTTCGAAAAAACTCATCATTTTCATCAAAAACTCGAATAACTTAAAACGCGCGCTCTAGGTGTGTTATTTAAAATCAGCGAAAATTCAAAAGTTGGCTATGAAAATAAACGTCAAACTTGACAATGAAGCAAGTAAGTTGTTCAATTAAGTAATTGTTGTTTGAGTGTTTTTAAAATGAACGGGAAGTTTTCTTTTAACGAGCAAGTTGACATGCTGTTAGTGCTAGGTTTTTGTGAAGGAAACTGTAGCCTTTCAAAGCCTATAACTCCTTAGGGAAGCAACTTGGTATAGAGGTAAGTTGCGTTAAATTGCCATATTTTGGGACCCCCTATATGCCCCTGCTCTATGTCGGTTCTTATGTGAATCACCCTCTATATCTCTACTACTCTTAAGTAATTCATGTTTTTTCCTTGTATATTAGTTTGTTAATGCCTACTGGCACTTTGTAAAATAAAACATACAGAGCGTTTAAAAAATTAGGAATAGTAGTTACTTAAATAATGTGCATTTTCATGTATTATCATAATAAGAACATTATTTCTGATCGCTTATTTGTTATATTAAATACAATATAATATTTGTTTTTACATAGATACCGTAAAATGGGATCAATAGAAACAACTTTGGACCTTTTCGACTTTGTATCTGAAAAACGCTGAACCCTAAAAATAAAGTGAAATCGTGTAAAGTTTGGTTCGTACCTAGTAGATTAAAGTTCAGTATTGTTTTTTTTTAAACATATGCCCCCAACCCTACTTTTTTTAAAAAAATGTGCCCTGTTTCTCTGATCTCAAGGTCGGGGTGAAAAGAAACACAGGTTACTTTTTCACTTTATTTGCTATTTAACCACTTTTATGGGTGAATAGAAAGAGTTTTTGAATTTTAAAAAGATTTAAAAAGAAACGCACATTAGTTTCACATTGGTTGGACATTCCAGAAGAATGAAGGTAAATAGAAACAGAGCTTGATTTTTAAAATTTGTTTTTTTAGCGTTTTTTTAATGAAGAAAACACACTCAATGTAGAAAAGATTTTATTTCCTTGAAAAAATATTCAAAAAATTCTTAAAAAACACTTTATTTTGATAATATAAAAACAAACAAAAAAACTAGTTTAAATCAGTTTTGGGTTACTAAAAACCTTAGCAATTCTCTTTTGGAAATTTTTTATAGGTTTTGGATCTCGGATCATGCTTATATTTTCTCGGCATGGCGTTCATAACACAAAAACACATTTTTTTATTTTGTGCGGGTCAATAGAAACAAAGAGCGAATAGAAACACCGTGTTTCCAGAGACAACGTGTTTCTATTCACCCCGTTTTTAGAAAAATTTGGGGTTAAAATAAAAA